AGTGCGACGGATTCAAGATAAGACTCTTGGTGTTTCCTTGCATACATTATCACTGTTTATTCAGAGTGGGTTTGCTAGGAATATTAAGACCAACCCAAGAAGAACAGAACACCAGAACATCAGTTTATATAAAAAGAGATTGTTGGAGTTTTTTTTTTTTTTAAGATTATTCTTTCAGCGATCTAATTAAATATTTGTGTCATAGTGTTAAAGTGGGTTACTCCAATGATGCACAGAATGACAATGTCTTAGGTTTGAACCTGCACTGTGCTCAGTCATCCACCTCATCCAGTGCCACCCACTGCTGCCAGGTAATAGATTAATAGATATTTTTTACTTAAACCCAAAATTAATGTAGCTTGAAATGTTGCAGCCATGACAGTAATTATTAGTTTTGTGGAGTGTTTTTAAACTGATGACATCAAAAGACCCTATATTTCCCATATGTATAATTATAGGGGACAAATTCCAAATACTTGATTTGAGGTAAAACAAACAAAATGAGGTAGTGACGATAGCAATTACTGTTATGGAAACCCATGTTCCAAGATATAGCAACAGTGATGATGAGCTCAATGGTGTTTTATGCTTGATTTTTGTACAGTTAGTACTGGAGATTATCTCCTTGCCTTTTATAACAGGCACTAAATAAAAAAAGTGTAAAGTCTTATCTTCAACTTTTGGTTTCTCTTTCCTTCTGTGACTTTTATAGCACAAGGGTTTCTTGTAGGTGTACTATTACTGTGTCAGAGGTAATGATTAACCAGGCAATGTACAATAATGTACTCTGTCATTTGTGTCTCCACAGGAAATTACAGCTGTGTGACTGCCAGAGCTGATAGTAACAGCTGTAACAGATACAAATAATATGTGGTTTAACCTTGTTATTAAACAGAAATAAGCTGAAACCCCATGGTTTTTGTTATGTGCATTTTTTGCAGATATTAGGACATAAAATGACACTAAAGCTACATTCAATAATGCCAGACAGAAAACAAGTTTGATTTACCATATGGTTTTATGGTGCAATTGCTTTTGTCGGTTGAGAAATATGGGTCAAATCGATTTGTTATCTTTTGTCGTTTGAATGTTGCCGCAGCTTGGCAGACAGTAAAGCTAAGAACAGCGCTGTCTGATCTTGGTGTCTATTTTCCCTGTTGCACACAAATACTTAAGCGCGCACACACACAGCCAACAGGCCAACACAAACACAAATAGAATCCACATCATCTTGGCATTCCCAAACATGTGCAGTGACACCCACAGCAGTAGACAGCAGGGCTCCGTCTCCGCTCACGTTAGAGCAGAAATCTGCAGCCTGGTGAGACCAAATGATTTGAGGCATATGACAAGTCCTTGTGGATTTAAAACAAAGTGCTGTCAAAAACACTCTGCAACAGCCGACGCTGTCTTCTCCCTGCTCTACATGGGCTGATAATCCTCTGAGTCCAAAACCAAACCCATCATTCTCCCTTGAAATTGTTCTTTTTTTTTCTTTGCCCCAGAACACTTCTGCGGACACTGTGTGTGCCGCTTCCATCAGAGGGGATGCCACAAATTTGCCCACAAGGCTGCAGAGGTTGGCCACAACACCCGGGAGACTGAGTCCATTCACATTATCCAGTGCAGAAGAAGCTGTGTGGCAGGCCAGGGATTACAAAGGCAGGAAATAAACACAAGAAGAAGAAAAGCACAGGGGGAAAAGAACACAAGCAAACATTTATGAGTTAAATTGCCTGAGATAAATCTGCATCACTTAAAAGGTTTCCAGATATACTTGAGTTTGTTTGAGTCATTATACAAGATACAAATTTCAAAATAATAAAAAAAAATTAAGCACTTATAAAGAGACATACAGTAGGAACATACATAAGTGTCTTTTGTTGCTGTACAGCTAAGATTACCCATCGGCCCCTTCATGTAATCAATAATAACCAAACTGAAACATGCTGTAAAAAAGGATCACTATCATTATCTTCTTCCGGGAAGTTACTTGTTTTTTATTACCTTCAAAATACAAATCCAAAATGGATGGTCATTGTTTCAACTATGTACAGTATGGCTGGTAGTCATACACACTGTCACCGATGTTTTATCATCTTATTTCCTTCAAAGAGATTGTGATTTACAAGACTGATAAAGTCTTCTACTGAAAAGGTCCCCAAACCAGTGGTTGAGACCATAAACCTGCCAAAAAATGTTTGCAAGCATCGTACTGTAAATCAGCTTTTTAGAAGAACTTTTTTGCAAATAGTAAGGATGCCTCCTGGTGATTCCTTACTTCTGGGTTTCACTGTCTGAACTTGATGGCTGTGTCCATTTGTCATATACGATCTATGGCAAACACGAGGGAGTCAAAACAGGAATAATATTCATGGATGTTGAGACCACTTCCTCATTCCCCCCAAAACGTGATTGATGTTGTTCTGTGAACCCCACAGGGAGATGTATAATGGTGTTAAAACAGGAGTTGTGGAGTTCTTTGCAGACCTCTCCTCAAGACCCTGGAAAATGACTCTCATAATCCTTCACAGCAGGCAGGAACCATCCACTCAGTATGGACGCATCGCTCCCTGAGTCAATATGGCCGCTCTGTCTCCGGTTTCCAACCGGCGCATAAATGAGCTTCAAGTATGTGTGGTTGTTAGGCAAATGTTATCACACTTGTGACACATAAATATGTGTGCAGACATTCAGACGGTCCAGGACGCACACGCATCCTCAATACACCCCCTCTATAAAACATGCTGCTGATAATATTTTTTCCTCCTTGATCCTTTGCATGTAAAACAGGCATGATAGATGATGGGATGAGATGCAGAGCAGAGAGAGAACTCACTGGTGGTGGTGCTGCGCTACAGAGTTCACAACAGAGTCGACCCAAGGCCCGGGCTAACGACTGCTCTCCAAATAAATGATGATAAACATGAGCTCTGCTTCCACCAGTGAGTGCGCATTACTTAATGATGTTCAATGGCAGTGGTGAGCGGAAAAGACAACAAATATATTATACCAATTCATCTTAAATGGGCATCCCTAAGGAAACCCATCTGAATTGTAAATTCATGCACAGGCCTCATTTTTCATACGTGGCAAGGGTAAAATTCCATAAACTGTGTACTTAATGTGCAATGCTTTTTGCATATTTACATCTTTATGGGCCCGTACTGGGTTGTGTATGTATTTATTTATATGAAATGTTTACCACTTATCCGTCGTCAGGATCGGACTAGGTTCAGATTGATGCCTTTGTGCAGTAGCGTGCCACAGGTCAAACTTCAAAGCAGAGAAACTACAGCAATGCTCATTAATTTTGAATAAATCTCAATACATTTGGGCTGCATCACCTATAATCCGGCAGTGAATGTTTACATTAACTTTACACACATTTCAGTTTTATATGCATGTCTTATTGAGCTGCCACATATCATGTTTACCAAATAAATTATTGACTATATCCAACCTTTGTTCTTTGCTCTGGTTTGTATTTATCGCATGTAGAGTCAACCGGCACACTCAGGTGGCCACAAAGATCTTTATTCACAGAAATTAGTTGCAACAAGAGACGTCTATTAGCCTTGGTATGGAAGAATAGCTGGCATCAGGTCTGCGACTCAGAAATCAAGCTGCCTTTGAGAGACAAATCACAGGAGACGACAGGTCAAGCAGTGAATGAATGCTGGCCTGACTTAAAATAGTTGTGCCATGGATACCTGGCAGTGTTTCTCCTGCGGAGACAGGTAAAGCCTGTTAGATGGCAGCGAGCGGGCGGAGAGAGAAACAAAAAACAAGTGTCCCAAAAGAGGAACATAATCTGATAAGACTGTGAAAGACTTAGGCCTTGTAGCGTCTGTGCCAAGGGCCTTTCAGCAGGTCCAATTTAAAACCACCTGGACCGGAGGGTCTCCTGAGACAGATGGAATGGAGAATACGGCGGGGAAAAAATAAACATACACCAGTGCAGCTAATTTTCTGGGTTTTGACATCGATTCCTAGTCATGTGTTTAATCTGTTAACTTTGAATATTTTCCCCTAACATGAACCTAAATAATATCTTTATGCTAAATTGGACCAAGTGATGAGACACGAGGCTCAGGCCAACAAAAGCACAAAAAGAACCCACACAATCTTCGCATTCCCAAACATGTGCTGCATATTTATTCTCTATAGGATAAAAAGATTTATTTTGTTTGATTTAATTTTTTTTGAATAACTCAACAAATACACATCTAAAACCTTTACATATTGATGGATATACGTATGTTAGGGAGGTCCGATAATATTGTCCAACCAATAATATTGTCCAATATTAGCATATTATGTATTATCTGCAAGAATCGTTTTCAGCTTTTCCTCCAATAATGAAAACCCGATAACGTAACGTCTAGGTTTTGACAAATAATGTGTGCCGTCTTTTTAATTGCAGACCATTGAACAGATACAACATTTCAAGGAAAACAACATACATGACTACATCGCAGTCCTCCACTGAATTGTCATTTCTCATGTACGCAACCAGAAAGTCAGAGGTCTCTGTTTTTTTTAATGGCCTCAGGTAAAACTAATAAATAACACCATGTTAAGGGTAAACAAAGGGTTAATTAAAACCTGCCCCTCAGCCCCATAACTACACCAGTTCCAATGCCAATTCACCTCACCTCTGGAAACCTCCCTCGATGATGTCACAACGCTCCAAACATGATTTATTCTCTGTTTTTCTATATTTACATAAAAATCTCTTTCATTGTGTTTGCGCCGCACTAATGTTTTGTTGCCTCGACTTCTTTACGCCCAGCCCCCACGGCTCCTGGGTCTCCTCTTCCTCCCTGAACCGCCCCTGCCCACCAGTTAGCCAGCAGCCATCTGTCTGTTCATTCGTCTCCATGCCCGGCTCATTTGGCCGCTCAGTAGGGCTCTGTTGATTCTCCATCGCTGGTGAGCCCTTCTTATCAAACCCATGCAGAGGACCTAATTAGTCGGTGGGCTTTTGGTGGTGTGTGGCAGCTCCTGCAGCAGCCTGACACAAACTAGAGCTGGGGTTAAGAGGTGGCCAGAAGGGCCTTGGAGGTGGCTCACCCGCTCCCTTCTGGCAAAGTAAAATGGGAACAGAGCAGATTGATTTGGGAAGAATTCATCTCTGTTTGACAACAAGAGTGAAAAGTGTCTTATTTAGCTTGGTACTGTATTTTAGTAACTACGATTTCCAAAAACTGGCCACAAAAACATCCACCTTTTAAGACATAATATTGTTAAATGAATCAACTGTTTTTATTATTTCTATATCTACGAGCAGCTCTGGGAGATTCAACTTGGTGAATTGACATTCATAACTCCTCCATCCTGTATGATATGTATGTTATTATTGTATTGTTTTTTTTTAAAAAATCACTAACTTGAAGCCAACTTCTGAAAACAAAAAATTCTGAGTCCTTTTCTACAACAAACAAACCTCTCAAACCTCTTTTCATTGAAGTTAGTAACACAGGCAATTTTCATATTTATTTGTTTGTGCTATGAGACAAGTGTCAGCATTTTCATGGATACAAATTACTCCATTTCAATTGATTTAGTGTACAGTACAGCAGCACCTAAGTGTGTTATGCCTCCAGTTGTTTCAATGTTAAAGTGCCAAGGTCCAGAGTCCTTCATTAAAAAGACCCTGAACCTTGACACCATCCTGCGTTAAACACTCACAGAAACAAACAGACGTCCTCCTTTTATCTTGGAAGTCATTCAGAGCTGCTGTTGGATTCACTACGACGTGGCCCACGGTGAAATACAACAGAGTCGGTGTAAATGGAAGAGAAGAAGGCAAGCACTCCGGCTCTCACTTTCCACAATTCACGTAGCTCAAGGTGTGTTTGTTCAAGCAACAACGTTAATGAGCTCGGTCTCACACCTCGTCTTTTGTACAGCAGATTATCACTCTTTATGTCTTCTTTTTGAGAGATTAGAAATGACATCGCTTTGTCTTAATGACAATTTATGATTGGTTTTGTAGGTAACTTTTTATTTTTGTTAGCACTGACAGATTTCAAATGGAAGAAATACCCCTTTTTTATTTATATTTTAATCAATTGTTTATATATATTTTTTATCAAACCTGGCCTGGTTTCATATTTATATTTTACATCTGTGTAATACAGAAACGTTCTCATATTCAAAATTCTCAAATCAACCAAAACTTTCATGGCCTCCCTGCAGTAACTCCAGGGACCTCCTCGGGTCACAGACCTCCTTTTGGAGACCTAAGGCATAAGGTGAAACAGACCAGATTTCTCCAAATTATTTTCTTAATATAAAATAATTTTGTATTTTTGGACGGGTGAAGTTTTTCTGCTCAATCAGCACAAACACATGCCGTCCCCTGAGTCTTTTTTTAACTACTCTCTCTTCCTTTGCTGTGTATAAACTTTCTTCAGATGCTTGAAGATAAAAGTGTTGCAACGACCATAAGCTCCCAAAGATTCTTGGTGGGTTTTACCTGAGGAATGAAAAGATATCTCACACTCCTAGTTTTGGAAGCTGTAGCTGTAAGGACAGGGCACCACGCTGGTGAAGTGGTGCATTGATTTTAAAGGAATGTCTTCCCTTTCAAGCTTGCAAACACACGCGCGCACGCGCACACACACTGAGGCTTCGACTTCACACATGCATAGTACAGTAATTATTCAGCGGAGACATGTGCAGGTGGCTCAGGAGAGAAGGCAGAGGAGAGAGTCAAAAGCCTGACTTAAATGAGGGAGAATGACCGCTGGCGCTGCTATACAGTGTCAGGGTTTGACAGCAGTCTGAACAGAGGCCACTCTGACTAATTGGGCTAATTTGGCAGCAGGGGAAGAAAAGGAATCTCAGAGGACCGAGTGGCTACTCTTTTCATCATCTCTCTCGCCTCATCTGAACCCACTCTCACCCTCACCAACTCTCCCTTTTTTCGTTAGATCGATCTCCATTTCGCTTTCTCTTTATCTCACTTTAATAATTGCTCTTCATCTTTCAATCAAGCCGCTGCAGAGCCACCTAAAGTTACCTGACAGTCTCGGCTGTCCCATCCATCTCAGGAGCGTGTGAAATGCTCCTCGTACAGTATCCACAGAAGAATGAGCCTGCAGTAAGGATTTGCCGGTGTTGGTATATCTTTTCTCCTCTACTTGTTTATCTTCCGAACAAAGCTGCCAGCATGCCCCGCAAAGCTCCATGATGAGTGAAAGATTAGCATGACACCTAGTGAAACATAATACAATAAGAAAAAGCACAAATATACAATCACACACTCCTGGAAAGCAACACCAAGTCAGTCATGCCAAGGAGAAGATAATCTGCTTTGTGAAGGTTCCTCAAGGCAGCGCAAAAACTATTCCTCTTCCAGTATCAATAAAACATACAGTACAGGCAGTACATTACAGCACCACGTTTGGTCATACTGCTACTCTGAATGTAATACATTATGGCTCCTCTTGTGGGTTTTGAGAGGGAGGCTTCATATAACGTTTGCTCCTCAGTCAGAAGATGAATGATAGTCAAAGTGATAAGTGTGTTTTTCCAAACACTCTCTTCTTCCTCCTCCTGCCTTCCTTCCCTGTCCTCAGCCCTTGGCACCAGCGGACTCACTGGTCATCTGCTCCAGTGGGATAAGGGGAAGAAGGGTGATTTTGAGACACAACATATGTTATTCGCTTTTCCAATAGTCTGATGCCTCCCGGGGAAATTGGTGATATCGCATTATGACACCGAAAATGAAAGAGGCTCCATTGTGCCCCAAGATGGAGTACGGACAGCCAGAAATAATATCTAGGATGTAGAAATCGGGGGCTGGTTACAGCTTGAATGCATGTAGACTTCAGGAGCGATATGTCGGTCCTAAACTTCATGTGCAGTCACCCACTAATTTTCTCTTTTCCACGAAGGATGAAAAAAAGATAAAAAAGATTGAAAATGACGTACTTTCCTTTTTGTTGCATTGCTCTCGTGAATTTTACCATTTGAAATCAATATGAGCAGAAGAATAAAAGATAATATAAGGTTTGGAGATGGAGCTGAACAGCGGTTCCAGCTCCAGACTCA